AATCAATTCGAAGATTTTTATACGATTGTAATAATTTGATCATTCCAGCATCCTCTAATAAAAGATAACGTTTGTGTTAAAAATCATATTAAAATTAATTTCCGTAAAAAATTTTAGTAAAACTTTCTCAAATATTATTAATCTTTATCAAATCATATAAAGATATTATTTAGTCTTAAGATTTATTTGTATAATTATTAGGGATTTAATAAAATAATCGGGCAAAAAATATTTACAATACAATTATTAATTTAAAATAATTTCTTTTATGACATATAGAAAATTAAATTTGTAAATTCATAATAAAAATTATTTTGTATAAATAACAATTTTAATGCATTCCTATAAAATCTTTCAATAGTTCTGTTTTAAGCACATTATAAACTTTATAACATTATAAACTTCATTAATTATATTTTTAAAATATAATTGTAATAATTCCAGAATTTAAAATAATTATAAATGTTAAGAATTTCTCGAGTGTTTATTTGCGTATATTTATATTGCAAAATTTATATAATAAAATTAGTATGTAACAATAAACCCTGCGTAAGCATAATAAAGGATTTACATTATTTAGAAAAGTTAGAAAAATTCACACGTAATAAACAAAAAATTACAATAAGTAATAAATTTATAAAAGAATTAAAACAGATATTAAAATAAATATGTAACACCTCTAATAGGAAAAAATTTTTCACTGTTAACCCTTCGAGTGTCAGGCAAGAAAACGCTTGTCTGCCAAGAATGCTATCAATAACATAAACTCAGAAATACAAAATAAGTCATTTTTCTTGGGGTTTTTTGTGGTGCTGATCAGGAATTTAAGCTCAAAATTTCAAAATTCAAAATGGTCGACTCAATAAGGCAGAATATTCGAAAATTTCGATCTTTTTCGCTATCTATGCATGAACTTTTTTATGTGACAAATTCCTTAAAAAACTTTAGAATCAGTTTTTAAGGTCGCTGATTGTAAACTTGATGTTAAATTTTTTGAAAATTTTTGAAACTTGGAATAATTTTTTAAATTATTATTACCATATTGGATCCGCGATCTTCAATTTTTAAAATCTGATATCAAATTTATAATCAGCGACCTCAAAAACCCTTAATTACAAAATTTTTATGGAATTCGTCAAATAAAAAATGCATAGAAGTCGAAAATTATCAAAATTTTCGAACATACTACCCACCATTTTGAATCAACCATTTTGAATTTTGGAATTTTTTACTTCAAATTAATATTCAGCGGCCTCAAAAACATTAAAGTATGTATTATCAGTTCAATTGCTGCACTGCAAAAGTGATTTATTGGCGTTATGAAATATGCGGATTTTTCCATCATGAAGCACTTTTGGCCAGTTTTATTTTGACGGATTTTTCCGTCATTGACATTCAAGGGGTTAAATCAAAACCACAAGAAATATATTCTCAAAAGTGAATTTTTTAAATATGATCAAGCAAACATATAAATATAATAATTTACCTGCATAGTCAGAAGATTCATAATAATCACGTGAAGAATGTGGTGCAGACTCATCATCATATTCGTAAGTCGTGTATCTTGAAAAAAGATATTTCCATCTATTAAATCTAAACATCTATTACAGAACAAATAATTATGTAATGTAAAAAGAATCATATGTAAAATTGCATTTCATAAAGAAATACATATTTGTCTAAAAAAAGTTCTCTTTATTATAATTCAAATTTATATACTGTTCATATTATGTACGTTCAAATTTTAATGTATATTAGAGAATTTTATTTCTCAAACTTTCCATTATTCTCTCTTATTCTTATTATTGTAAATAAACATTATAATACATACCCAGCATTTGATGTATAACGATCACCATATCGATTATTACCTCCTGATGATCCGTGATAATCAAAATCATGAGAGCCTGCACGATTTGTTGCAGGAGTCTGACTATCATAACTACTAGAACGAAAAGATTTGAAGATTCAATACAATATTTAATTTACATTTTAATGAAGCAATTTTGCTACCTGAGACATTATGTGTTGACATTATGTGTAAAATTTAAACTTACTTGTAACCTTGATCCATAGCAGCCCTCGCACGATCCAAAATGGAGAATACCTTTGATTTAGATGGTGCAGGTCCACGAACATGTGGTCCACGATTTACAGGTGGAGGAAACATAGCTAAACAAAAATAAGTATAATTTATATATATTGTAATATAATTATAATTATAATTATATGTATTGTATGTATACATATATATAAAATTCATGTGTATTTTATATATGCATACATACAATATACATATGCATATCTTATCATTAAATATATTAATTGCAACACATCATATTTGTTAAACACGAGCTCAAAATAAATGTTACATAAATACAAGTAGATTCTTAATCTTATATGTTCAATACTTTTACATATTGTACAATTTTTATAATAAATAACCAACCTCTAGATTGTCTAGGTCCCTGTCTTGCAGTAGGCCTCGGTATATTACCATCAAGATTCGAAGGTCCTCTCATCGAAGGTCTGCGATCGTTTGAGACAGTATCATCAGACATGCCCATCTCCATTTCACGCATTTGTTCTTGACGTATATTGTCATTGTTATCGGGAATTAAATATTTCCGCACTTCGGCGAGCGCGAAAGCAATACGAGCGTAAGCTTCCGCCGGTGGAGCAATAGCTGTAATCTCTACATGCAGATCGTCGGCAAGATGTGCATATTTCAAATTCATGGAAGCACGAAGTTCTTCTTCCTGAGATTAAAGGATCCATGATAAAAATATAAATCAATTTCTTTTTCAAAGAGTAAGTTTTTCTTTGTTACCAACTTTTTGTTTATCTTTCATAGATCCTCTGCCTAACACTGCCATTTTGCACATTGTCTCTTCTTGCAAACGTTTCATAGAATTGCCTTTTGGCCCAAGCAATTTCCCAACAAAATTAAACTAGGACAGAAAATTATATAAATCTAATTCATCTCAAATCTATTTAGATTACTGTAGATGGAGGTACTTACTTTAGGATGTTCACGGATGGGTACTAGTACTTTAACAGATACACGAACATGCTTTTCACGATAGATATCCACATATTTTGATTCTCTCATTGGTCTTCGCAAAGTTTCTGTTTTTTGAATTTCTATAAAACATGTAATTTTTTTATAACAAAGTTACATAATTTATTTATTACATCTTAATTCAACAATATATTTTTACTACAGCTTTGACCATAAGTATAAATCCTCACATATTGATGTAAACGTTCTATATTTAACAAAAATAAAAAAAAAATTTTATTAAAAAATATTTATTCTTATAACAATTTTAATATTTTATTAGTTCCTATTTGATCTCTATTACTATGTTCTACAAGAAAATGTGATAAATTAAAGAGTTCTTTAGACTTATCTTCATGATCAAGGCTAAACTACTTATTTGTTTTTTATTAAATTTATTATCATTATTCTGTTATTTAATCTTTTATCTTGAATCATTCAACAGATATACACAAAATGTCTATAAGAAAAATATGCAGTCTATTATAATTATATTCCCCTTTTGTTAAGGAAGGATTTATTTCTCCTTTTTATATTTTTTTCTTTTTCGAAATTAATGATAATAATAGACTACAAAATAATATCTACCAATATTACTTGTTCCTTTTAATATCAGACATAAAATTAATTAATAAAGATAATAAATACTTCAATAACCAGACAATGCCAAAGAGACTGATGATTTTCGAAGTAATATATTCAATGTAAATTATCCCAAAATATTCAAACGAATACATTGTCTCCAAAACTAAATTCTATTGAATCTTAAAATTTCGTTGATTCGAGTAGCGATCGCATACTCAATCCAATTTTAATGCGAGTGAAAATTATGGACATTCCGGCGGTTTCTCATCATGAATGATGGAATGACTCTTCTACAAGATCATCTATTAGAGAATATATTTACTTAAAAATGATTTCTTTTAACTCACCTTGGTCCAACAATCGGATGGCGTTGGGCCATTTTTGTCCGTCTAATTCGATCTTTTCTTGCAAGAGCTCGTTCATATACTCGCCGGCCTTGTCGGCCTGATGGTCCTTCTCAGACTCATCGAGTGACCTGGGTTTATCGTCGGCATCCTCATCTCTCTGATACTTGTAGTCACCGTTGCTGGATCTGTTCACGTCCATGTCTAACGAAATCCGGATTCTCGATCAATCGATTTCAATAACAGCCTTGGTTCCTTTGTGCCACGAGATGTCGAAAATCGTAACTCCGAAGTTGATCGACACGATCCACAAGACGAATCCAAACGAATCCGTAATGGCCGACAAAGCGCGCACCACGCATCCCTTATCCCCCGTTCCTTCTCAAGTTGATGATCCCGCCGAGGATTGCATCCGTGTATCCAGACTGCAGTCTGCTCTCACGTCATTCCATCGATTCAAGTGGTTTCTCCTTAAAATTTCATAATTTATATCTACAGTCGGTAAAATAGCTGTGCTGTTGAAACACACACATTTAGGAATTTTCTTTATAACCATTCGTCGATAAAACAAAATCGACCGAAGATATAAAAAAAAACATTCCAATTTCATAGCGTACGAGCTGCATAAAACATATAAATTGAGCGAAGATTAAATGAAAAGTAATGAATTAAATGTACTTAATCCTGTTTATTTGATTAATATTGTAAATATGAATACCTTCCTTATCAATTATCCAGAACTGAAATCCGCCATTGTATCAACGATAAAAACGAAAATGGAGCGCGATAATAACAAATTGTTTTGAAACACCATGTTTTTTATAAATCCGTGATATTGAAGTATATTCTTTTCTCTCATGCTTTCGTATATATAACGCGCGATTGATGTCATGATGTCAAGCATCACTCACAACGCTAGAGATCTAATAATTGAAAAACAAAATCAAATACACCGAGCACACTAAACGATAAGCATATTACTAACGTCAGCGACTTATCGCAGTTCCTCTCCCACTCCTCGGAGAATCCTATCCCCTTTTTAGTCGAGTCATGCTTGCGTTCTTGATTCTTCGTCGTTGTACATCGGTAAGAAACCAGTTTCTGTTCGTGCTTGTACGATCGACGCGCAACGGCATCGCGTCAATCATCCGATCACGAATGTGCGCGCGCGCGCACGCGCGCTCTCTCGTTCGCATTTCGACCTCGACTGAAAACTACGTGAAATTAAGCGAGAGAACTTCCTCGAAATATCGTCGTTGTGTACAAACTAGAGATAAGACTCATTCACACTATCTCCTAGCGAACGGTTTGTTGTTCGGACGAAACGAAAGAGAGAGGGAGAAAAAGAGAAATAAATAAATAAAGTAATAATGATGCTCAGCAAGTTGAGCACGAGACTGCGATACGCTGAAAGAAAACTCCTTTTGAGCAATGGTGAGTTTTTCGCTGGCCCAAAAAGTCATGCAAGAGGGACGCATTTTAAGTATTTCCCGTGTGAAAAACAGATCGTCACCGGTAAGTAATCGATTATACCACACTGCATGCATCTGAATATATTATTTTTCCAAAGAATTTTTTGTGCAAAGTTCTGTCAAGATGTAAGAAATCAACAGTATTGTGTACAATGTATATGAAAATCAGCTGATAAAAGATTTGATATGTCCTTTATATCGAGATCGACATCTCTTTTGTATATATACTTATCAACGAATTAATTCAAAGACGCAATTATATTCGTACGTATATACGCATGCGCAATGAGTTTAACGTGCAGAATGCAAAGCATAAATTATTAATTAGAGCATGGATTGCGTCATTCGTATCTAAATAGTATATTAATCCCACAAAGCACGAAACTCCAATTAAATTAAGGGAGTTCATTTTGTTGAGTTCTCGGGGAGTTTATAAAATTTGATAAAACAAATTCTCAGGGAGTTCATATTGCTGTGAGCTTCCAAGGAACTTACAAAATTCGACTCAGCTCTCAGCTCAGTCGACATAAATTACAAGTAACTTATCACGTCAATCACCGACCGAGATATTAGATGGCCGGCGAAAGTTCGCGTGACTGTTCAAATTTTTAAGTGATTAACAGTAAGAAACTGATAATACGTACTAATTTCATGATTTATTTGTTTTGTAAACATGTATACATATATGTTTAATACCTAATAATACTCAATTTTTTTTAAATTGTGATTTTAATGTTACCATCCGAGTTTGATTATCAATAGAGATGGTAACTGCAGAGAAAAAATTGTAATTTTTCAGCAATATATAAGATATTATAGCATTAAAAGTATGCATACTTATTTATATAGCTTATTTATATAATAAAAAATTACGAATTTAATAATGAATTATCGAAATATTTATGTTAATAATCGTAAATTTTTATTAATTGTCGGTAATATCATTGTTCTTCAATTATCCTCGGCCCTTGAAGCCCCATTGATAAGCACAAAAATTTGCTGAGGGTCTTTAATAATTTCTCGTCGATGCGTCAATGTTATAATTCCGCACTCCACAATATAACTGTTATGTAACGTGTGTTACATTACATTTATATTGTAGAATACGAAATTATAACTCTAGCGTTATGTTACTTTCAATTTATGTCCATTGGAAAGGAGTTTATTTTGCTGAGCTCTCGAGAAGTTTAAAAAGATCTCTCTGAAAAATGAAGCTGTCAGGGAACTTTCAAAAGCGAATTCCCGAGGATTTCTTTTTGAAGCTTAAATGAAGCTACAAACATTTTATGAGCTTTCGGCGCGGGAAACTCTCCGTATTGTGTAGGATGTGGTTAACAAAGAGAGAGAGGAAGAGAGAGAGAGAGAGAGAGAGAGAGAGAGAGAGAGAGAGAGAACTGAAGACGGCGAAAAACGAATATTCAATTTAACAGATTCTCTTGCTCTCTCTTACCTTCTCTTGCTCCTTTTTTCCTTTCCCTTTCGCATTCTCCTTTAAATAAAATGATTATTTATATATTTCAAAATAAAAAACAAAATAAATTTAAATCTTGGGCACATTCTACGAGTATTCAAATATTCGATCTAAAAAATATTCATCTCTGTTGAAGGTGATCGTCTTTCTTTAATTCATGCAAGGATATGTTATGTCAAAACTAAATTAAAAACTAATGGATATAACGTGACAATAAATTGCCGAATTGATGCTTTTTTTTTACATATTTGTTATAAGAGTCATTACATTATTATTTCATTCTGTTTAAATAAAATGACATTATTACATGTATTCAAGACATAACAGATCGACATAACAAAAATGATTCAAGTTTTTGTTATATGATATTTGAGGTTCTCATAAAGATTTTAAAATTTCTTACAAAATCCTCAAGAAATTGTTTTTTAATTCAATTGTTGTTTTAGAAGATAGTTTTAGAAATTTATCCTCAAATTTATTATTCCCAAAATTATTTTAGGCTTAATTATTCATAGGACTGTGTAAAGGATTGAAAGGCATAGCACCGCATTAGGGCTTCTAATGAAAATTAATTCATTAATAATAATGAATTTCCCCCGAAATTTTGGTTAACAATAAGATATCATTTTTATTATTCTTCTATCCAAATTAATTTTTATCCAATTTATATTTATAATTCATAAAATAACAATTTAAATTTAATGATATCTTTATTGTTATAATAAATATATGTACATATGCAATCATTTTAATAATTTAAACAATCTTCATATTTATTATAATTTATGGTATGATAATGCGTGCAATCTGACAATAGTTGCTTTACAACTTGTTAAGCAATTATTATTTGGATACATTATTCAAATTCTTGTACAATGAGTTATGAAGAAATAGAAGGCTATAATAAATAATTCTTTTTTCTTTATTTCATTGTTTTGTTACTTTTAATTAATTAAAACTACGAACAACATATGTATATGAGAAAGTAATTACTTATTTATGAAGGATGTATGTGTACAATCAACAGATTGATTCTTACTTATGGATCCATAAATAATAACCAATCGCTCAGTGAGCAGCCTGCGTTCCGAAACTCATTGAAAAAAATATGTTGCAATCTTTTAGTTGCTGACTATACATATTGGGTCATCTAAAAAGTATCCGCGGTTTTTTATCACTAGATGTGTGTTGATGTCATATATCTATGACAAAGTACCGCGGATACTTTTTAGATGACCCAATACATTAAATTCATGAACAGATAAAGGTATCCGTCCTTACCCTTGCACTACTCATGCACAAATATCCAAGGGATGTTCTGAAGAACATCATAAGAAATATCCTAATGTTCTAAGAACGTTCACAGGAACATCTTTGGGATAAAGTGTGTTGTATGGGCAAGGCCCTGAAAATCTTTTGCACGATCCTGATTATGCATTATTCATGTGATTACAGTGAAAGTTGTGCTTTTAGGTGAGACTCAAAAGCTGAATATGTATCAAGCTATAAATCATGCGCTTAACATTGCATTGGAAAACAATCCACGTTCAGGTAAGGATTTTGTATTTGTGCTCTTTTTTAATTCGAATATGTAGCGAATATACGCGAATATAATACATTAAAATATTTTCTCTAGCTAAATATGTATTTAATAATATTCATTCTCAATTTTTCAATACTTTTGAAAAATTAAAAAATATTAAGCTGTTGAGAAAATTATTTAATCGTCAATAAAAATTAATAGAATTTAATTTTTCTAAGAAAAGTTGAATCTCTTTCTTTTTGTTAAAATCTTTAAAATAGAAATAATTATATTTTTCGGAAAAAATAAAAAACGTTACTTAGTTGTTTATAATTCCTTTTAAATTTTCAGTTGTGTTTGGCGAGGATGTGGCTTTCGGAGGTGTCTTTCGTTGCACGATGGACTTGAAGAACCGTTTCGGTGCCGATCGTGTCTTCAACACGCCTCTCTGCGAGCAAGGAATCGCCGGTTTTGGGATCGGTTTAGCTAACGCGGGAATATCAGCGATTGCCGAAATACAATTTGCCGATTACATATTTCCCGCTTTTGATCAGGTGTCGCATTATTCACAGCACGTATAGCATTAATATAACAGAACGATAATTATTATTTTGTAATATGTCTAGGGTAAAAGAAACTCCAAAGTTTTAAAAAAATTTAACTATTTAAATAATAAGAAGGTGCAAAGAAAAGTATAACAAAGAAATCTATTCGCTTAAAAAATGCAGAGAGCGCGAAAACTTTTTTCTTACAGCTTGAAAAGGTTTTCAACTATTTCGCGAGTGAATCGTATAAAATTACGCGGAATGTGTATTCCGTTCGTAATGCAAATTATTAAATAGAGTGTAAGGATCTTCGACTCTTAATTCTGCGTACGTTTTTTCTACAGTTGGTAAACGAAGCGGCAAAAATAAGGTATCGAAGCGGCAATATGTTTGACTGCGGCATGCTTACGATTCGTGCACCTTGCGGAGCCGTCGGCCATGGTGGTCTTTATCACTCTCAAAGCCCGGAAGCCTACTTTGCACACACTCCCGGTTTGAAGGCTAGTAGAAATGCGTTTTTTGTTTTATTCATTGGGCGTAACACGCGAACCGCTGGTTTCCTCTCAACTGTGTCTTAAGACTAAGATATTTCTCTGTTAATAGTCGAGCGAAAAGACAAATTCCTTATCGAGATAGACGATTTCATAATAGGATCGTAAAAGGCCACGCCTCACTATTTGTACGAAATGCCTAACAAGTCGATCATTGCCATAATGTTGAACAACAAGATTTGTACTACTACCGAAGTAGAACACAGAAATCATAATGATATCTGAAGAATATTATGATGATTTTATTTGTCATTTTTAATGACGAAGTCGTGATGACATTTTTCTAATATCATATCAACTTTTATGATTTGCCTGGATACGAACTCGACGCGTAACTACTACATGACGATTGAGACGTTGGATTTTATTTTCAAAAATTGACTCATTTTCTTGATCGTATGATTTGATGACGAGATGAATTTTGCTACTAAATTTCCATCATTAGAAACATTCTTCAAGTATAACCCTCGCTATGTCTCGTACTAGCCGTAGAACTGTGAGTTTACAACTTTCCTCAACAAATTCCATGAATATTGTACAGCGTACACGATCTACGTATGCATGAAGAAAGTTTTACTCGCACACTAATGCACGTAGCCGCCACTATCGTATATCGCAATTACTAAAGGAGCGATGCGACGTAATATCATCGGCGATGCTACTCAGAACTGATCAATTTCACGCTTGTTTTGAGACATGTACTAAGGAGTCGATGATTATCGGGAGGATCACAAGGAACTCGATTCTCGTGTTCTCGCCTCGCCCAAATACATCATTATATACGTTTTTTTAATGAACTCATCCTTCTTTTTTATTTTAGATCGTCGTCCCTCGCGGAGCGGTGCACGCAAAGGGTCTATTGTTGAGCTGCATCGACGAGCCGGATCCCTGTATCATATTCGAGCCTAAAACTCTGTATCGCATAGCGGTCGATGAAGTACCCGTTGCACATTACAAGATTGCAATCGGCAAGGCTGAAATTGTAAGAAGCGGTGAGTTTGAAATGTCCATTTAATCCATATCAAGAATATTTTTTAACGCTAACGGAAACAGGTATGAATCCTTGGGAACGGCTATAGTTTTTGTTATTAGGTCCATATTTTTAAATTTTTTAAAGTCAAAACTGTAAAAAAGATTGTAAAAGAGATCGTAAAACATAAAATTATTTCAAATCGTTACTGTTTAAAAATTAGGAAAAGTCCCAGAATTATCAGGGACTCATATATGTTTCAGTATTTGACACTATTTGATATTATATTGTTTTATTATTATGTCGATAATCTAGGATACTTTTCAAATATGTAGTTTATACATAATGCAAGTTTTTGAAAAATTATATAAAATAAAGGAACGTCAGGAAAATATTTTATTTTAAAATAGGATCTTTTATTAATTAATAATTAATTAATACACCGCTTTGCTCTCTAATGCTAGTACAAATTTTAATTTTTATACGATGGAACCTAACTCGTATGTATCTTTGTATTTCTATATACAAGAACATATATTATATTTATATTTAAGAAATAAATTCTATACATTATATTGCCATTTATATGATTTCATAAATAATATTTTTTTCCTCTTTCTTGATCTTTCGATACTAATAGTGATAATTAACACTATTTTATCAATCAAATTTTAATGACATTGATTAAAATGTTTTTATCTGCGAATTCTTGTCTTTGACGCAATGTATTTACAATTAATAAGTATTATTAGAAGTTCACTTTGCATCTTCAGACTACGCGGAAATGATTATACACTATGAATAAATATTTGCGGTTGTGTAAATTCATTCTTCGGAGAAATGTTTAGAGCATACGGCATCTCTTTACATTATTCACCGTGAAATGTGCGTCGTCGAACAAAAAATAACACCTCGGAAGGTGTTATTTGAAGTCATAGAAGATAACTATTCGCACTTTCGAACACGAGAAGAGAATATAATTTACCAAGTGCGATCGCGTCCTTCCATTATATCGGTGATCTCACTCGATGTGACCGGTCCTGAAACAGGATACAGGCGAGAAGAAATGCATGCTTTCATCCGTGATTACAACGTCCGTATGTATTCGCATATATACACACGAATACATCTTTGGTTCTTTGTCGCATAGGTGATGCTGTGACACTCGTTGGTTGGGGCACTCAGGTGCACGTATTGCTGGAAGTGGCCGACCTAGTCCAGGAGAAACTCAGTGTATCCTGCGAAGTGATAGACCTCGTCTCCATTCTACCTTGGGACGCGGAACTTGTATGCAAGGTGGGCAATAACGGCCGTTGTTATTACGGCCGTTTCCTTGAGAAAGAGCAAGATCGATTCGACGATTCCGCTTAAGGCGAGAAGTCCGATCTATCTCTTTCTCACTTGCGTTCTGTCCATTATCATTGCGACGATCTTATGGGCGTCCTCCATGATTAACATTGAATTTCAAAAAGACCAAACGATCGCGTTAAATCTCCTTTCTGCTCCGTTCCGGCAATTTAATTTGAAACTCTGAGATGCTCGGTGATGAATGCGTCGCGACTGTGAGTGCCGAAACGCGCGTTTCTATATCGTAGAAAATTGTCTGGTTTACGCCCACTCAAGATACAAGAGACGCAATTGAAGTCTTTTTCACACTATTTATATGCGTCGTTGGAACGTCGCGAGACATCGGTAAGGAAATATCGGAAATCAACTCTTCCAACGATCGCGCGAAAACTCGGGATCGCGATCTTCCATGACGCGACGGCGTGTCATCGACAATAGAGAGGCAGATGCGCATCAAAGTAAGATCGCGTTCAAAGTAAAATGAGAAGCGGTCGTGGTGCAAAGTTGACCCGCGCTCGTATGCTTCGTCAGATTACGATAAGATTTCTATATAGACGCTAATAATCCTGCTGATTTATGCTAATCGATCACAGGTTGCTAATGATATGCTCGATTGTACCGTGATATCCATTCGTGGGCTTGCAAATCACCACTATATTATGTACATTGTACACGCACACACGCACATGACGAGGTGATCGTAATTGAAAACTCGTTTTGCCGCAATTTCGATACAGTCGCAGATTCGTCGTCTTGTCTATTTTTCGATATGCCTGCCTGTGAAACGTCGCGCGATTTCACAACGAGAAAAATTGCAGCTCTCGCAGAACAAAATTCTAATATGTCGCTTCTACGAAAAACCTCGTGTGGAGTTGAAAGAATCGCATCGATTAAATTTAATTAATTTTCCGGAGTTGAAACCAAAGTTACTAATGCTGGGTTTGTGAGATTTAATTCCATTTATTTAATTTATGTTGATTAAAAAGCACTCTGATTAATTTCAAGGAACGAAATGACATAATTCGTTTTAATTTAACAAAAGAATTAATAAGTACTCTAATTGTAAGTATATTTTAATAAAAATTATCTTTTGCAGATGTAACATCTTAAGGAGAACAAGAAAGACAAAATAATGTTAATTTGATATCATATTGATCAATTATTGACCGAATTTATTTCATTTTTTGTCATGATTTAGTTCATATGATATTATATCTTGACTTTATTTTCCTTGAGAAAGAATTGAATTTTTGACAAAAAAATTTATAATTGAGTGAGCCCAATTGTTAGCTAACAGAGAGTTAAAAATGAATGATTCATAAACATGAAAGTTTGAAATATTAGATTATTAATGCGTGATTAATCATTAACTCAATTCAAATAGTTCCAATTCAAAATTTTTATTTTAAGGCTTCTGTTCGCCACTACTAACTAGACTTGAGAACCACTATTAAAAATTATCGTTATTAAAATTATGTTCCAAAATTCACTGTCAGCTCTGAAAATCTATAATTTATATTACGTGCACTATAGATTTTTAACACTAACAATGAATTTTGGAATATAGCCTTAATAACAACAATTTTTTATATCTTACAAAAAACCCCAGCTTTTTGAAAAGATATATATTATATTATTATATACGTAATACATTACATCAGATTAAATATATAATAAAATATCCTTCTTTTAATATCTTGTCACAATTAATAAGTAAAAGGGAGAGATGCAATTGGTCGACTTCCTAAGCCTTGTAAATGCAAAGTCAATTGATGTTATTCTCCTTAGGCGTTTGAAAGGGATTGAACATTACGAGGAAGGGGCAATAATTCAAACATTTATCGTGACAGTAAGGCGCCTGTTAATAAAGGTTAATGGTAGACATGTAGAAACCCATAAATATCAATCCGATAAATATAGAGACGTAGATTTTCTGCGGGGTGTATCCGTAACGAAAGATTGTAACTCCTGAAAGTTGCAGGGAAGGTCGGCGCGAATCGAAAATGTCATAGGAACCTGTATTCAGTATTTCAGTCGCGCTTATCTATCTGCTTACCTTTGTCAATAATTTACAACAGGACGGGCACACATGCACACATATATGCGCATAAAAAGGACACAGGTGTACCTATGTGTCCCGATCGTACCGGCTGTTCCCGTGTATATTTCTACAACGTCGATCACGTCGTAGACCCGTATTTGATAGTTGTTACAAAACGGCTCATGCCGTCATCAGCGACGTCGTTAATGCGCTCGTTTAGCGCATCGGCCGTGCATGTGAAGTTATTATTGTACCGCAATGTGGGACGGGACGTAAATCACATGCGAATTAAACCCGCGTCGGCTAGAGACCAATAATAAATTACCGTATATGCATGATACGATGTACTATATGTTCGAATGTTACAGTCGGTGAAGAAAACCGGACGCGTTATAGTCGCCCACGAAGCGCCGATGACGAATGGATTCGGGGCAGAAGTAGCTGCGACGATTCAGGTAAGATTCACATCGTGGAGTGGTTCTCAGATTTTTTGCGCCTTACGGCAAAATAAAAATATCTAATACGGTGTCTACAATAAGATTTCAAGAGAGTAAGTGAAATTTACCCTCTAAAGTCTTTGGAATTTCTCTCTACAGAATGAAAATTGAGCCAATCTTGAAAAAGCTCAATTTTTAATCTTAGGAGTGAGATTTTACTCTTTATAGAGTAATACTCACTTTAAAAGAGAGTAAGCTTTAAGCCTCAAGTCATAAGAAATTTATTAGTCCGGATCTACAATAGATTTTTAAGCCTTAAGTCATAAGAAATGGACGAATCACAATCAATTATTCTCCTCGCATTCGACTGTAGTTGGTCAATTTCTTACGGCTTAAGGCTTAAAACACCTATTCTGGATCCGGACTTACAGTTGATTCTGAGAAGACAAATCGACTATGGTCGATATATTCATAGTCGATTCTCTATATTTAAGACTATCTTAAGTACAGTCTTAATGTCATGAATCAATCAAAAACATTAGTTTCTTAAGACATTAAGACAATTAGTAGTTCGTTCTTAAGAACTATGAATACCGGCATGTGATTGATTAATTTCTTAAAGCTTAAAGCTTAAAATCCCTATAAAAAATTGTAGACACTGTTTTATGCAACAGCCATCAGATCTATCGCGTAATTCTAACATAGACAGCGGATGGTGTTTGAGTCGGAAGTCTTCGGCGAGATAAAATGACGCGTGGGATGATAATGTTACAACGCGTAATAGTCCTCCAAACCGGTTTTTAACAGTGACCGATTAGTCTCGTATCTCAAGTCCCCTGCGTTTGTTGTTCGCGAATTGATCGATATCGGTCGATCGATTCTTATAAATTAGAAAGTTGCACGCGCGATAGAAAAGCTGTAAAACTAATCGTGGACTGAATCACTAAGTTATCCTGACGGTTATATTTGACGATTGTCAAATTGTAATTCAGACGGAGTGCTTCCTCCATCTGGAGGCGCCGATTCAAAGGGTCACAGGATGGGACTGTCCTTTCCCACATATCTTCGAACCGTTCTACCTACCAGACAAGTGGCGTTGTTTCGCGGCTGTTCGAGACAGCCTTAAGTACTGAGGTTGAGACAAAGGGTGGCCATGACAGTTGCAGTGGAAAAATTAAAAAGAAATTGTGAGCCTGTTGCTCGCAGAATGTCCTTAAATTACGCTGAAAACATTTTTATTATCAATAAAACATTTTTTTAAACACAATCTTCTATATATTTTATTATAAATACCTTCTTTCTTCTTCATCAATTAAAGAAAGATTATGATACAAAAAAGCGAAGTAAAGGAAATAATAATCGCTTAAAATCCGCCGTATGTATTTTACACGATTATTTTATCGTTTATATATAACAAATTACCGCTCGTAACGTAACTCGCGTAATCGCTCATATTTGTAAAACACGTTTACATTGTTAATACATAGTAAACTATTAATTTAGTCTTGCTAAAACTTATCTGGAATATTACTAGGACTATTGCTTATCTGGAATAAATAAAGCATATACATACATATATCTTTCGTAAGGAAATATGAATCCGGATGACCTGACTACAGTATACATGCATGCAAACCCATGTCCCTGACCCAGTTAGTCCACATAAATCCATCCCTCTTGTCTAAATTAATAACATGAAAGATGATACAAATCGTCGCCGGAGGCAATAATGCGTCGCTCGACAAAGATGTCAGACAGACATTCAGGATGGATCGCCTAGGTATCATTTTTTTCTCACCGATAAAATCTGGGTCAAGTCCTTCTTTAATAATAAAACTGCGCACCGATTGTACGCGCGCCGTGGCAATGTAATATCTCAATCAAGGTTTCGGTCCCAAACGCTGTCCTTTCCAGTCTAAATTTTTAGAGCCTCATGTTTCGCTTGCCAACAGGATGTACTTTTAAATGAAGGTAAAAAAAGAACTGAAGAATAGAATTCAGATTTCAAGTAGAAAAAAAAAATGAATACAAGGAACATTAGGTTAGCAGACATAAACTCAAAGTTACAAAATTTTTTCCTTTTTATTTGCTTCTGAAAGTTGATCTATTGTTACTGTCGATTACTAATTGCACGTTACTTTCAAAACGACGATTGAAAAAATTTAAAAACTTATCGAGATAACGTAAAAAAAAAAAGCGAAATTAAAGAAAAGGAAGTGTGCTGAACTGTATGCTCGTGGCATATTTTGTAATTTGAAAGGGAAACCACATTCTTTCACTATATATTATGATACGTGAAAGTTGGCAGAGCGACGAACATACGTACACACACACGGTGTGCAATGAGAGAAAGAGAGAGAAGAAAAGCTGGGAGAGACAGGGAGAGACCTGGTAGCGGTGGAAAAGAGATGGAGAACCAGTCGCCGCGAAGCGTAGACTATATCGAAGGTCGACGAGTTACCTTTTTATTAGTCGATTTTTGCGAGAATAGAGCAATGCACACTTTTAGCACACGCTAACATATGGTGTCGATGCGACCACAGACATCGAAAATCGAGAGATTCTTACTCTCTTCGATTCGACGGCAGTTGTGAATCAATACTTCTCCGGAAATATGATTTACTATTCATAACAATACTGAGAAAAAAAATGTTTGGATTAACCATAATCTAACTATAATTTATAGTCATTTTTTGGGACAACTATAAATTTATAATTATTTTGACCATATGAATTATAGTAACCTGAACACTAAATTATGATCATAACGACCATAATATTATATGCATTCATTCAACATTGTATGATTATCTTACATATATCGAATTTGCATATAGTAAATTATAAACTATAAAATGTTGTAACAAAAATAATTAAAAGTACGTAGACTCATCTATTACTACCAAGATTTGGAAATTGATAGTTAGATGGTTATTGCGAAATCATATGACAAATATAACCAAATTATTAATTGTAAACAAAATAATTTGGTAATTGTGACCAAACAATTTATTACATCAATTTGATGTAATAAAAAAATGTATACTGAATATCAGTGTAAGCATGATTTAAATTGTGTTAGAGAGAAAGATTGCTGAAGATTCAAACCATGAACCATGGAAACGTTTAAGGTCAAGGCTTATATATTGAATATTAAGAAGAATTGTGGTAATTGATAACCAGCGTTGACTCCTATAACTTGTACTTTACGTTATTATCATACATTTACATCATACTATATGATTTTCATATTTGTCAGGAGTAAGGCCTCAGTATTGCATAGTAAAAATCTGAAACTAATTTCATAACTGTATAGCAATAAGAGTCATTGATATTGCAATATAAATTCCGAACATACGCAACTGTATTAGGAGAATACAATAAATAAACAAGCATTGTGCATTAAAACATGTATTTTATTTATTATTGAAACATATTGTAGAACTATACATTATCACCATTAAATAAACCTTTGAAATACTTTTTTTTATATGTATAAAAATGTTTACACATCATTTGTATTTGTCTTATTTGCATTGTATTTCTCAAATTTTTTTTTATGGCCTCCACATCGATTGCTCCAGAAAACCAACGGCTTATGAATGAATTAATATTTTTTCCCTCCTGAATACCAAATTTGTTTATAAAGATCTCTGTAAAATAATTTTTATATTATGAAATATATTAATTTGTAGAATAGAAATAAACAGTGGAAATAAATTGATAAGATTAAAACTTAAACACAATCAAATTGACATTCTTTATTCAATGAAGAATCCCATTATTCGATCGAAGCGGATCTTAATGTTCAAATCTTATATTGCTTATACAATTTAATAAAAGTGATATTATTATTCTGCTCATACAATGCGTTTTCGAAGCGAAAAATTTTTAGCGCGCGTACCCATAAGTAAGCTATACATCTTTGTTTTACTAAAATTCAATTTCTTATTTTCATTTTTTTTGTCGATCAAATACAGTGAACAGAATTTGAATATTTTTTGATGTTATCATCGATATAATATCATGAACCGCCTTTACATAAGTAGAAGCTTCGCTAACATATCTTTCAAATAACGAGTGCTTACTATAGTAAGCGAATATTGAAAAAACGGTTATATTCATTATAATTATGATTGCAATTATCATATAAATAGTTATTTTATTTATCATACATTTTTATATTTTACTATATTAATATTTGAAATTATCACAATTTATGGTACAATTTTTGTACAGGGTGATAGAACTATACATATAAGGTTATTATTACTAACATTATAGCAATAATAACTATAAAATGATACTCCTAACCATAATTATTTTATCATGCAATTATAGTCACAAATATGATATATAATATTTTTCTCTCAGTGTAGAATGGATATAAAGAAAGTGGCGTCAATGTATATACTTGGTCTCGCCATAAAGGGTCCTTACTGTTAATTAGAAAGAAAACAACGTTAGAGAAAGATGAAATTAAGATGAGAAATTGCGTCATATAAGACAAATATAGGATACAAAATGGCGACTTCCAGTTAATTGGCGTCACACTCTTTATATCTACTATTCGAGAATTTCGCGTGATTTGGTTACGCAAAGACATAAAGAATGGACTGCGCAATCCATGTGTCAAAATGGTTGATAAAAGTAAACGAGAGGGACAATGGAAGACAGCCATCTCTATCTCTTTTCATTCAACGGTGTAATAGGAGAGAGAATGAGAGAGAGAGATTGACCGTTTTCCATGGTCCCTCTCTCTCATTATTGTCGACTGTATTTAAATACTAGTTAGATACGAATTACGCAGTCCATTCTCTATGGGCGAGTTCAAGACGGCAAAGAGGCTAGGCATGCTTGCCGAGCGAATGAGCATAATTGATTTTTACCTGTGGATCCAACCAATCATGTTTAATTGCTTAGTGAGTAGATAGCCGCTTTGTCGACTTGAATGCGTCCTGTCTTTGGTGTCATGTAAATTATGCCTACGCAATGGTGACACCAATACCGAATTCTGTTCATCCAGTGTGAACGGGCGGATAATAAAAGTTGTAGTACAGACTTCATTTATTTACTTTTTAGAATATATATATAAAAAAGAACCTATATTTTTTATACTTAGAAAATAAAAAATATTTTTAGAATATCAAAATTGTAATTAAGCATTTTAGAAATATTAAAAGTATATATAACCTTTTGTTATTTTTAAAAAATATATTTTTAAAATATATTTTTAAAAAAGAAAACTCTAAGGGAGGGTCATGGCCCCCATGGTCCCTCCTCCCCGTAGATCTGCCATTGCCATATATGTGCTTACATGATGTAATTCGGTAATTCTGTAACAAAAAAGAAAGAACTTTACAGAAAATTAAAATAATGTTTACCATATAAATAAGTAACAAAAATATGGAAATATCTATAGCCATCAATGATAAATTTGATAATTTTATAAGTAACAAATAAACGAAAAGAGAAAATTTTTATTCTTAAAATCCTACTAATTAACTTTTTGATAAAATATTTATAAATAATACGTAGGCTGCTGGAGAAGTTTCTGCAATCTAATACTTTCAGTGGCGCCAACGTTCTGCTACTATCATATCTGTAAAATTAGACGTTTTTAATCTATAATTCAGTTGACAGTTTGTATCCAAGCCAACTAGTTTTGTTTGCATAGTATTTTAAAAGAAGTTATTTTGTGAGAAAATGGAAATTTCGTGTGAAAATTTTCGGGCAATGATTTTTTACGATTACAAACGTAATCTAACTCCGAAACAATGCATCGATCGACTTCATTTGGCTTTTGGAGATGAAGCACCATCCAATAGGATTGTTTATAATTGATTTATCAAATTTCAGCGTGGACCTTTCTTTGTGACGAATTCCGTGAAGGTCCATCCACATCTGTTGTTGCCACTAATGTTGATGCTGTGCGTGAAATGATTGAGCGAGACCTGTATATGACATACCGCGAGATTCAGACATCCTTAGGCATTGCCATGAAAGCAACAAATATGATTTTCACTTGAGTGTACGGAAACTTTGCATTAGATCCCACACAATTTGACCGAAGCTCAAAAACAGGCTCGTGTTAAATGGAGCAAAGAAATGCTCAAGAAATTCAACCGAGGTCGGTTAAATTTGGTCTACTACGTTACTGAGGAAGAAACATGGATCTATTCGTATGAACCCGAAAGTAAACAACAAACCACTGTTTGGATATTTCAAAATGAACCGAAACCAACAAAAGTTGTTCGTTCACGCAGT